CGGTGCTGAGGGCCGGGGTTTGGGGGTGGGATGGCAGGGGTAGGGGAACGCTTGGGCTGGGGGAGCTGAAAGGGCTTTGCCAACCCAAACCATTCCATGATTCTACGATGGGGGAGGATGTACCATCCAGCGAGCCCGTGACACCAGGCAAGTACATTACAGAAAGAGACAAGGAGTTCAATTCCCGCTCCCCTATAGGATAACCGACCACGACTCCCAAGCCAACTGAGCCCTTAACCTTATTAAGAGACTTATTGTGTATTTGTCACTCGAGGCTCTCCGAGCGCTCTGTTATTCATCCCCTATCTCCAAACGCCGGCAGCCTTATTTGCCGCAGTCAGTAAGCAGGCGATCAGCCCCGCTCTTCATGTCAGCCGCTCTCTTCTCTTTGCTTAAAAAGGATTAAGCAGCCTTATCCATGTTACCATCTCCCCTGGCTTTCAGAAATAAGAAATCTCTTCTATTCATAGCTGCGTGTAATGAATATTTATACACCCAAATCTCTATTGCAGAGATCTGTCACTGGATTATTCAATTTAATAATACTTTTAGGATAACTAAAAGGCCCGTATAATTGCTAATCTCAGGCAACAAGAGCGCAATGGATTGAAAATTCCCTGGGTCACGAGCCCTGAATGTGCCCAGAGATGCAGAATTAAGAACCTTTTTACATGGCAACATGCACGTGGTCTTCTCCTTACTCAAGCCCACCACCTGCAGCGACGTGCTGCGTTTCCTTCTCGTTTTTATACACCTCTGCGAAGTTTCTCCTTTCCCTTCCCACCACCACCTCGAAGGTCTGAGCTGCCAAAACGTGAAGCGTCTGGACAAAAGGGGATAGCAGTGGTGCTGGAGAAGGCGGCCCCACCACTGCAGAAGGTGGCCCCAGGGCAGAAGGTTGTGGGCAGCCACAGGACATCTCCCCACGCTTCTCCCAGCCCCACCACCTTACTGCGGAGGGAGCACGCCAGTGGATTTGGGGGAAACTGCCCCCAAAATACGACTTGTTGAGAACATCTCACCAGCATGGACACAGATCAGTCAACTCACCTGGCCTTGCGTCTCCAGCTTGACCTCCTCCGTGGCAGGAGGTTTGGCGAGTGGCACCGGGGCCGTGTTGCAGGGCTCCATCTGCTCTGTCTTTTCCACCTTCACCTTCACGTCGTCCAGGCTCAGCGCCGGGGCTGCAGCAAGCTCCTTCTCATCCTTGTCCAGAAGATAGCGCAGGAGTTGGTGATCCTTGACATCTTTTTTCTTCAGCGCGTCTGGCTCCAGTTTGATGTCCGGGGTTCCCGGCAGTTGGCTCTGAGCCGTGGGGGTGGTGGCAGGGTTTGGGGTGTTCTCCTTCTTCTCGTGCTCCATGGCCAGGGTGGTAATATCGGAAGGGCTGCCCTCCTGCAGGAGTCTATGCAAGATCTTGTGCCGCTCGGTCAGTGAGCTATGGGAGGAAGGGCAGGTGCTGCTGGGAGGGTTGCCGGAGGCCAAGGTGCCAGCGGTGCCTGCGCAGGCTAACGAATCTTTGCAGCTCGTGTCCGCATCGGCGTGTCGAAGCTGCTGCTCCGCCGTGGTGGCCAGGAGCTGGACCAGCTTATGGCTGGTGGCTTGGGAGCACTTGCTGTCCCCCTCCGAGAGCCTGTCACCGGCATGCAGCATGCCCGAGTCCAGCGGTTTGCCATCCCCCGCACCGCCATCCGACTGGATCATCTCGCTCAGGATGGAGGCGATCTCTTTGCTGTCCTTCGACTCTGCTTTCATGGGTTGCATGGCGAGGCGGCCAGGCGAACTCTGGGAGCTGAGTTGTCTCAGCACGGGGGGTGGTGTGGAGTAGCCCACTGGTGTGCTGGGACCTTCGGTCAGCCCCTGCATAGAGTTTATGGGGGCGCTGGGGAAGGGTCTGGTGCCAGAGGTGCCACCGCCGCCCCCACTGCCGCTGTTGGCCATGCCCACGGGGGAGTGCATGGTGGGCATGGTGGGAGAGAAGGGATTGCTGGGCACTCTGGGTCTGGGCACCAGCCCTGGGCTGACCCGATGCCTCGGAGACATGAACTGCGGTGGGGTAATCCCTGGACTATTCATGGGGGAGCTATTGAGGTTCAAAGTGTGGTTACTGTTCTGGGGACCGGCTTGTCCCTGGCTTAAGGCAACGTTGGCTCCTATCTGGTTCCCAGGTGAACATCCAAAGCTGGTTTGGCTGGTGCTGGAATTGCTGTTGTGGAGGCCGGCGCCTGGCTGCTGGTTCACGTTGGTGGCCAACATGCTGCCGTTGGAGGGAGGGATGGAGGGCGGCAGGGCCATGCCTTGCCCCGGGGAGATGCTGGGGTTCAGTGAGGGACTGACCCGGGGAAGGGACATTGCAGAGTTAGTGTTCTCCTGGGGTGAGAGCATGCCATGATCCCTGCGGGAGACGAAAAGGAGAGGAAGAGTCACAAGAGGCTTTGCCCAAACCTTTAGTGTCACTCAGGCAGCTCCTGCCCCCCGTCCATGCTGCAGAGCTCTGAAGCCTGGAGAGCATCAGCTCGCGAGCCCTGGTGGTCTCAGCCTTCGCATCTCCACCAGTGCTTCTGGACCCATTTCAGCAGCATGGATGGAGTGCAGCAGCTTTAGCATCTCCCCAGAAACGTGACGCTGCTTGGGATCACAGCCGCTCACTGGCTAAGCCCTGAAGGCATCACCTTCTCTGGGTCTTACGTTCCCACATGGCTGGAGGAGGACCATGCTCCGACAACATTTCCCTCTGCACCAGCCCCCTTGCATTTCTCCAGCACAACCCAGGTCTACAGCCTCACCTCTCCCTGTCCTACCAGTTTGTCAGAGCCTCTCCCTCCCCAGATATTTTAAGTTCTCCAGGGCAAGGCAGAAATCTGAAGCACGTCTATAAACCCCCACCTGAACTCCCGGGGCCACCTCTTTGCAAAACAAGAATAATCAAGAGCAACAGAGCTGCCGTCATGCTGGTTTTCAGCCTCAGATTCCTCATGGGGATCACACCTCCAAACCAGCATCATAGAGCACCAGGGGATCCTCCTTCCATTGCAGGGAATGGGCACTTTGATTCCTGGGTCACCCACCCAGGCGCTGGCGTGGCTTGGTAGCGGTGGGGTGGGAACGTACCTGTCGATGACGTGGATGCCCATGATGAAGGGCTGCATCTCCGGGCTGGAGGGGTAGCAGAGCTTACACTTGGTGTGGGCACTAAGCACTGTCCCGTCACTCAAGGTGAATCGATAGGAGGGGCTGAAGGCCGTGCCACGTGTCATCACTGAAGGAGACAACCAGAAACACAAGAACCCCCCTTAGAAACTGAGGCCAGAACCCACAACACCCTACAAGCACCAGGAGGAGGATGGAAGGAACAGAGGAGAGGGACAACCTGCCTGGACAACCACCTTCCCAGCAAACAAAACCACACGCTTGCGTGTTGGCCGACCACATGGACCCAGAGAATAAGAGGGTCATGAACAACACGGTGGCACAGAAATCCTCCCAGCCACTTCTCCAGCTCCAAACCCGTGTCCTGCAGTGGGTAAATCTAAATCCATCCAGCACCATCCTTGAGCGCTCAGAGCTTCTGAAGGGGCAATCACTCAATCACCAGCATACAACGTACATGCTGATGAACCCCAGCCAGGCTGGAAGGTGCAGAGCTCCCCTGGCAGAGTGACAGCTCTCCGGAGGCTCCGCCACCTCCTGCTCCTACGTTCTGCCTTCCCCACATCCCTGTCGTGAGCGTCCTCACCGACACAGAGAAGATGCTCATCAAAGAGCCAACACAGCAAAGATGCTAATGAAGGAGCCGACAGAGCAAAGATGCTCATGAAAGAGCTTCCGCTTCTTTTGCTTAGACACAGGGGATGGCATTTGTGGAGGGCACAGGAAAAAAAAAAAAAGAAAATAATCATATTTAGCTCATATTTGTCTCAATTCTCTATTTTCTGAAGGGTGAGAGGGAGCCTCCCGGCTGGAGGACCTCCTCCAGTGTTACTCAGCCCTTTCCCCTCTCCCTTTGGCGCTCTGTGATTTTTACTGCAGAATTTATTTTTCTGGAAAGCATTTATCCAGCAAGGAAGACCACACTCCAGCTTCTCCTTGCAGCTCCCGCTGCTCGGCAAGAGAGCGTGCCAGCCAGAAAGAGGAGCCCGTTACCTTCTTGAAAGAGTTGCTTGGCGTAAGATGGCTCTCTGCCCTGAGGCTGGAAGAAAGCGTAGATGCATTTCCGCACCAAATCCTCCCAGCCTGTCCTGCCGGCAGCTCTCAGGGAACTGGTGTCAATGGAGATGATTTTACCTGGGTGGAGAGAAAGCAGCCATGTTACTCAAGCACAGCATGAGAAGTCCCTCAGCACAAACAAGTCCATAACCATGTGGAAAATGAAGCCACGTCCTATTTGGTGTCAGGCAGCAGTGGCAGGAGCGCACAAGGATGTTCTCCAGAAGGAGGTGGAAGTTCGAGGAGGTTGCTCCAACCCCTGTGCACTGACCTCTATGCATACCTTGGCCAGCTGAAGCGGAGACAAAACCCAACAAGAAGCATCTTCATGTGCAAGGACCCTCACTGCTCCAGGGCTGGGGTCCCCAGATTCACACCCTCGGCTGATGGGACACCCTGCCAGCCACCTTGCCCACATCCAAGGGTCCTCCAAGCAGGACCTGCCGCCTGCTTTCTCCCTCAATGGAAAACACCAGGTGGCTTTGCTGGCTATTTTACTGCCATGGGCAGGGATCAGCAAGCGGAGAGAACACTCATTAAGGATTTTCAGGCTGCAGGGAAGTCCAGGGTGATGATTAACTACCAGAAAGAAGGTCACCAGAATAGCTAGAAAGCAACATTTGGCGGAGAGCAAGCCCAAATCCAAAAGGCGACAACTGTTTCATTCCCATCCATCAGCAACCTCAACAGCCCCCAAAAACCAAGGGAGCGGAGAGGGGCTGCGTGCGGGGCATGGGTCTGTGTTGGATCTGTTGGGGTGTAACCTCAGTTGAGGTGCCTCCAGCTGAGGTGTCAACCACATCGTGCCTAGCAGGCAGCGCTGCTGTTGGCAAAGGACAGGACCATGCTCGTGCTATGGGGTCCTGCACCGCACCACCGGCCTCTGACCCCTGGGACAACAAATCCTCCAGAGCCAGGGCTCCCCGGCATCGCTGGGACATTACCTGTGGTGTCTTGCTTGGTCACGAAGGATTCGGAAGGGGCGACGGCTGCCGGTCGAGGTAACCGTCTCGCGATGCATATCAGGCATGACTGGAAATCTGCCAAAGCAGGAGGAGGGACCAGGAACGTGAAAATCAGATGTTACAACCACCGCTTGCAATTCAATATTTTAATTAAAATACCACTGCTGGGCTTGATTGCCAGGTCCTGCCCTGGAAGTGTTTACCCTGAGCAATCCTCTGGCCCTTCAAAGCAAGGAGGCTCTTTCTAAATTCTATAAAGTTTGCTGGAAAAGAGGTTTCCAGTGCTTGGAGAAATTAATTGTAAAGGCTTTTTGGATCTGGCAGTATCGTACAATAAAACTCAGCACTAAAAGCCAGCAACTGTCGGCTTCAGGCACAGTATTTGGTCATAAAATACCATAATTTATTCCTTCCAGTCATGATCTCCTGTGTAAACCACAATGGATTCATCCAGCTAATGCGCTGGAAAATAATAGCTGGGACATGGAAAGGAGAGTTTAGGGCACTTGCAGGAAAGCAACGGGCCCCACGGTGTGGGGGCCGCCCTGCCCGTGCCGAGCCCCTGGGCAGAGACCTGCCCCCAGGCAGCCAGTTCAGCCCAAAAATGCACGGGTAGCACCGTGGCCCAGCAGTGGTGAGGACACAAGGTGGGGTGTTGGGCACCCATGTCACTCACTGGGAAGGTCCTGCAGCCAACGGGCTTTGGTGGGTAATTAAATATTGCTCCTTCCTTAAGGAATGCTGACAGCAAGCAGCCCTGGAGGCAGCTCCAGAGGGCCAGGGAAGCCAGGATGGCTGGAGGGCATCAGCTTGGAGGGGAAGGGGAAGCTAGAAGCTGTGGTGAACTTCAGGCATCTCCCCCAGGATCTCCCCCATGCTGGACATCGTCCGTACCAGGCCAGGAATAACCCCCAGGTAGCCCTGCAGGATGGTGGCTGGTCACCCTCCTGCCTGCCCTGCCATCCCACCTCGCTCCTCCTCCTGCCTGCCCTGCCCGAACGCAGGGTCGGAAGCGGAGGACGCTCTCCCCTACCTTCTCCTTCCTCCTTGAAGGACTTGGGCTGGGAGACGGTGAAGCACTGCATCACTTCGTAGCGCTGACGAGCCTCCTGGTTCTCCGCGCCCGGCTCGTCGGGCGGCCGGATCAGCATCCTGCAGCTGAAGGTATGGCTGTTGCGCCTGGTCGCTTCTTGAGGCCAAGGAACTCCATTTACTGGGGGATGGAGAAAGGAGAAGAGGGGTTGTTAGGAGCTGTGTCACGCACGCGTCTCCCTCGACTTCCCAAGGACACCTCGGATAAGGGGACAGAAGGAAAAGCATCAGCATGGGGGAAGCAACCAGCTCACTGCCCAGGTCAGGGGTGAGCCAAGAGCAGAGCTGGGCGCTGAGCCCTCCCCACCAGCCACTGGGGCTCCTTCCAACGTGCTGAAGATCCTGTGCCCAGACCCATGCTGCTAGCCAGGCCATAGGAGCTCCTACAACCCCAACTGAGATCAGCACGTCATCATGAGAGTCATCGCGCTGACATTTATGAATTACTCCTTACATTGCTGGTAGGTCCTATCATCTCCATCTTACGGGCAGGAAAACTGAGGCACGAGGTCTTTGAGTCACTTCCAGCACCTGGGAGGGCTCCTGCCTCTTGCTGTTCTACTTGAAATCCCCCCGAAGCGATGCTCCCGGGGCTCCTCCAGCAATTCCAGCTGAGCATCTCTGTAGAAATGGATTTTTTCTTTGCTTCCTCCCCACTCCTGGGCTAAGTCAGCAGCGAGAGCTTCCGGTATCACAGCCGCAAAAACCTTCTTTGGGTTTTTTTTCTATAACCTGGCTTTCTTCCAAAAACCTCTGGACAGCAGCAGAAGGATTTTGCTCACCCTCTACAACCTCTTTGTGGATATCTGTATTCAACCCAAGTGATTTTGCCACCAGCAGATCATCAAGTTTTCATGCAACCTGATCTACCAGAAGAGCTGAGGGGCTTGTAACATCCAAGGGAAGATAAAATACGCAGCCTGAACCTGGGTAACCGCAGGGAGAAGACAATGCCTGAACCTCCATAGGCTCCATCTGATGAGTGCCCGTAGATTTAGGTGATTTGATATCGTTGTATTTACCCAGAAGGAAGGCTAGTATGAATTTAAAAAAACAACCAACCCTGTTTTTAAGTCAAGCTACTCAGAAAAGGCTCATCTCCTCTTGTGTTTCTTCAAAGGTGTGAGCGGATGAGGGATCAGCGATGTCTCACCCACGTCAGCCACCCGGAGGATGCTCATCTCCAGTCGACGAATTAAACCTTCTGCTTTGGTTGCTTCCAACACCCCGCAAGCGCCTTCATCACACGATGCTTCCTCCCACCCTCGCAACTGTTTGTTTTCCCCGGTGTACGGGACAACGCGAGCTCACCCCTTGTACCGTCACCTCTTCTCACATCCCAAGGTGCAGCACATCCTCATGCTGGATACTTGGGCTTGAAACCGGCTGGGGACAACCCCCCTCCAGCTGGGAGGACATCCTAAATGAACTGGGATAAGCGAACGGGCTCAGTCCCCCAACTCAACGCCTTGAAATCCTCCTCCTCGTTCCCCCAAAGCTCCTACGTGTGCCCCTCACCGCAGGCAGATGAGTCAGTTCTTCCCAACCGCAAGCCGAAGCAGAAGGCAAAAGTTTTCATAGTAGAGAAAGACAAAGGGGAGATGACTTGAATATTGTCATCCGCCAGCTATTTATTAAAAAAATCTAATATTGATTCCTCACTGGTAGGATGTGTTTCACTTAGGCAGAGATTATTACCTGTCGTGGGTATATCTCTGAATTTCACAGGAAACAATACAAAAAAATAATAATACACATAAATAATGGGTATAAAAACCCAATATAAGGCCTGCATCAGCGAAGACGCAATGGCGTTTTCGACAGTGCTCGCCAAACACCAGCTGATAGAACCCCACCTCAAGGGTTTTCTTACCGAGAGACTTTGGCAACAAGTTCTTGACGAACTCGGCGTGATCCCCCACGTGCAGGATGCTGTACACACTGGTGTTCATGAGCTCCTCCTGGTTATAACCCAGGTAGCTGGTCACGTTCTCGGAGACGAAGACGATCCTCCCTTCACGGTTCACAACAAAGAAGAAGCCATCCAATGCCTGTAAGGGGAATAAACCTGGGCAGTGTGCAGGCAGCAGGTCCTGGAGCAGGTCAGGGTTCTCTGCAACCATGGGCCACCTTCCTCTGCCTCTTGCACCTTGGCTTCATCCTCAGTCTATATTAGAGCAGTGATCAAATAGCAGCACATAGAATCCCAGAGCGGTTTGGGTGGGAAGGGAGCGTTCCAGCTCACCCAGCCCAACCCCTGCCATCAGCAGGGACATCTCCAACCGGAGCCGGTTGCTCCCAGCCCCGTCCAACCTGACCTGGAATGTTCCCAGGCATGGGGCAGCCACCACCGCTCTGGGCAACCTGGGCCAGGGTCTCCCCCCCTCAGCACAAACAATTTCTCCCTCCTATCCCGCCTGGATCTCCCCTCTTTCAGTTCAAAGCCATCAGCCCTTGTCCTGGCGCTGCAGGCCCTGCTAACAAGTCCGTCCCCCCCTTTCTCCCCAGCCCCGTTAAGCCCTGCAAGGCCGCCCTCAGGTCTCCCCGCAGCCTCCTCTTCTCCAGGCTGAACACCCCCAGCTCCCCCCGCCGCTCCCCAGCAGCCTGGGGCTCCAGACCCTGGGTCACTGCCAAGCCGAACATTCACAGCAGTTTCATCCCACCAGGCACAAAAGTCAGGGTGATTGTGCACTGAAACAAAGTTGAAGTGCAGGATTCAGTGCCTCCCGCTGTCCTTAAATGGCAGTGGGATGACTTTCTGGGTGATCCCGGGGGTTGCCCCCACCCAGGTGCAGGACCCTGCCCTCGGCCTTGTTGGACCTCATGGGGTTCCCATGGGGCCCACTTCTCCAGCCTGTCCAGGTCCCTCTGGATGGCATCCCCTCCCTCTAGCAAATCAGCTGCACCGCTCAGCCTGGTGTCATCTGCAAATCTGATGAGGGTGCGCTCGATCCCGCTGTCCACACCATTGATGAAGACATTAAACAGTCCTGGTCCCAACACGGACCCCTGAGGGACACCACTCATCACTGATCTCCATCCAGCAATTGAGCCACCACTACCTTCTGGATGTGACCACCCAACCAGTTCCTTATCCACCAGTCGACTCTTTACCCAACAGTGCATCCATCAAATCCATATCTCTGGTCTGCAACCTCCCCTACTAAGAACGTCCCTGCCACGACAATGGTGCCAGTGGAGGAGAAACAAATCCTCTTCCAAGGGAAGAGGAGGAAGAGTCAGGAAGGCTCTAATTTGGCAAGCTGCTGAAATTAAGCATATGCCCAATTTGCCTAATTACTGCCCAAGAATGACAGAACCTTTGCATCCTGCAGAATAACAGGGGCTTCGTGCATTTAGAATGAAGTGGCAAATTCAGCCCTGCAACTGAACGGAGGAGGACAAGCGTGACCCAGACCGAATCTTACAACGTGGGGAGATCTTCTGCTGATTTTAACAAGGACATCATCAAGGTTTTTAATTCACTGCCGTGGTACGGGGAGGAGAGGTAACACTTTCTGGTGCTACGAAATAAGCTCAGAGCCGCAGAGCCCAGCGCTTTCGTAAGGAGCCCTTGAGAAGGCTGTGACTGCTGATTTACAGTCTTCCAAGCACCCATCACCTAAACGTTTCATCTAGGCAGGATTTAGTTTTCTTGGAGTCTAATTCCTACCTTTCCCGCTCATCAACAGCAAGTTCTGGTGGACCGTGATCCTGCAACTCAATCTGGCCATAGCCCAGAGTGGGAGATGGTGCAGGGACAGGAGAAATTTGTGATGCCCCAAAATTGGTGCCCGTGGCATCGCCATCTCCTCCCTGTCCTCCCGCTTGCCCGGGCCAACAGAGAGTTACTCCAATGGAGGGTGTCCAGGCTTTATTTAATGCAGTTTCTAAAAATCAGGTTTTATTGTAGAGCAACATTAAGTGCAAGAAGCAGGAAGCATTTAAAAAAGGCGGGGGGGGCGGGAAGAAAGAAAGAAATCTTTTGTCAAAATGGTTCTGGCAGATCAGCTGCAATTTTCCTTATTCCCAGCTGTTGCCAAGACAACCAGCCTTTGCTCTTCGGGTGCCCCAAAAAAAAAAGACCCAGGCTGGATGGTAGACCTGGTGGTGGACCCTTCTCCCCAAGTGATGCTGGTTTCGGGGGGCCAGGGGAGCGGGGAAGGGGCAGGGGAGCTCCGAGGCGGCGGCGGGTGGAGACCCGGCTTGCACGTTGCCCCTGTAGCCCCCATTCCTCCAGCAGCAACACTGGGCATGTCTCCATGGTTTAAATATTAAATTACCTTATCAGCAGGATTGCTTATGGAAGTCAAGCTCAAAAAACGGGTCAAGAGGCAAAAAAACTTCCTAAAAATGAACGAGATGCTTTTTAAGAGCCCTTTTTATCTCCGCCTTTCTGGGTTTGAAAACCCCGCCTCAGCCCAGGGCACCCAGCAGAAGCTGGAAGTCATCTGGGGAATGTTTTTAAGCATGGGAGGCTGTGGATTGCTTGGGGACCAGCGAAACCACTAATTGCTTCTCACAGTCATTCCGCATGGAAAATAAACTCAGCATGGTAAGAGTTTGGCATCTTCAAAATGCTTCATGCGGCTCCGGACGCCCTGGGGGGCACGGGTCAGGGTCAGCATTGCAAGCACGGGGGCTTCACAGGCGAGGAGGCCAATTAGGAAATTATTCGTCAGCCTGTATAGATAATAACCATAATCTACACATGGATTTTAAATCAAATAATACAGGGTAGGATGTTCGCAAAGTGGCATCGACTGAGCAGCAGTGCACCTCCGCGTCCCTTCCCGCAGAAGGGATGCATCGATACCCGACCCAAGCACGGAGGGCAATTTTTAGTCATGGACTAGCTGATTTCAGTAATTTCCTCTTTTTATGATGACCTCAGGTTTTTCCAGGGCTATTTCTATTACCCATGTGCTGCTGTCCCCTCTTCGCCCCGAGGCACTCTGCTCCCCATCACCCAAGGGGCTGGCTACCTCCGGGGCTCCTGGCCACGGTGAGCCACCTATTCCCACACGTGGACACGGACATGGACATGAGGGGATCAACTCCGGCTGAACGATGCTCTGGTGAGCCAGCTGGGCCCACATTCGTCATTTAAGTGATGTAAAGGCACGCTCCCAAAACCGCACTGCGGAATACCTGGATTTACTGTGGATGTAGGGACACTGCTCTCTCTCAGGCTTTTCTTTGCTCTGTCATTGCGCTCGTAGGGTGCTCCTCCCAATGCAACCCAAATACCGGGGGTTTGTTGAGGATCTGCCGTCTTCTCCTCCATCACTTCATATTCCCATGCCTGTTTCTAGCACCCAAAGCACTCCCCAAAACCCACGTGCCATTCCCAGCCTAATTTCTAAGCCCATTCTACATTTTTGCCTCTATTAGACCAAGCACCTCTTCAGCCAAGCTTCCAACTCCCCATTAACTCCAGCCACATGCTTCCAGCACCCATTTTCCATCCTTTCCACAGGTCAGACCCTTCCTTCACCACTGCCCCTCCTTCCCATCCCTTTTGCATTAACTCCTCCAGCTGCAGAGTCACCTCTTGCAGAGTTTTAGTAATTTTGACACCTTCACTCCAGGGCTCCGGGGAGCCCGGTGTGGTACGAGGAGGGATTAAGCAGGTCTGCAAAAGCATGCACCGCAGCGCAGGAGAGCTCCCCAGGGCCTCTGAGCATCTTTTGGAGATACAGAAGAGGCTAAAAATGTGGCTGGGGAGAGTATCTCTCCCCAGGAATCCTGAAACCCAGGCTTTCTATCTCAAAAATGATGCCACACTTCACCTCCCAGCTATTGGGCTCCCGACAGAAACCTCTGAGTAAATCGTTGGACTGTGTCATGTCAGCGATTATGCTCTTGCAGTTAATTAAATGAATTAGATGAGGATGTTGCTTCCTTTTGGTCTTTGAATGTGTAATTTTATCAGGCAGTTTCAATGCGAGAAGGCGGCTGCGGGATAGGGCTGGCCATCCCCAGGGAGGAAGCCCCTCAGCCCCAACCCCAACCACCCCCTGTGAAATTACCAGCCGAGTGATTTAGGATTTGAAGCTTATCTCTGGGGCCTGCAATGTAATATAATAACCCTCATGTAATAACCTTCTCCATACCAGATGGTCCCGTCAGGCCCAACTCATTAAGAGAAGCGTGGCCAGCAGGGTGAGGGAGGGTCTCCTCCCCCTCTGCTCTGCCCCAATGAGACCCCACCTGCCGCTTCGGG